TTGCTTGGTTGGTTGGTTGGCTGCTTGGATTCAGTGTGGAGGGTTGAGGGTTGAGGGTTGAGGCTTGAGTACATCATCATCTTTTAAATAATGCATACTAGTTATAATGGCTATAACATTGAAGACGCTAATACTTCCTTTCGAATTACACACACATATACTTATGTAGTATAGGTACATAGTTGGTAATGTTTGTTTGCGGCAAGTTATGGATTTAAAGGGTTTTATTAGGTAAAACCATTGCTCTCTCTCTGAAACTTATGCTTATACAAGTGCAATATATGCACTAAAAAAACAAAAAAAAAAATTACATCATATATATATATATATATATAGAATAACAAAACCTAATAAACCTAGTAAGTAATAAAAGCTTATTACTACAAGGGAATTGAAATATTTTCTATGTACATCTGTATATATATATATGTACGCATACAAATGTGTATTTGGGGATAAAACTTTATAGTTTCTTTAAAGGTTGTTTGAATGTGTTACAGTAGTTGTGTTGTGTTCGTATCCAGTGCGATGAATTAAGAAAAAGGTTGTATTGGATTAAATTTTCTCTATTTATTATGGTTTCATTTTTTATTTATTTTTTTCGTACATTTTTTTTTTCTTTTGGTTTCATTTTAAAAGACCAAAAACTTTTGCTGTTCACAAAGCTCATTTATTGTTTTGCCTCAAAGAAATTTAATTGGAGAACAATGGTGAGGAAATACGAAAAGTGAAAAAAAATATTCTTAAATCTTAAATTGATATCTTTTCAACTCTTCTCAGATTTCATAAGAAAAGACTGAAGTGAACAGTAGATAGTAGTAGGGGGGTAGTAGTAGTGGAGCAGAAGAATATAATGAATTTTCAGTTGATTGTGTACTTATTTATTGAAAGTCATTAAACAATTTTGAAAAGTAATTAAAATATAATTACAATTCAAATACGATATTAATTCTAATAGAAGATATAGACCACTTCAAAGCTAAATCAAATGTAGCGAATATTCCTTCCTTTTCATTACACTTCAAAAGAAACAACTTTCAAAATACAATAAGAGAAACTTTTGCTTAAGAGTTTCTCCATAAGAAGCAGCAAAAGAAATTTAATTCGCTTTTAAGTGAATTTCAAATACCCATCACGTGAAAAAGTACATAACAAAGTGAAGAAGACTTTTTTGGTAGTTGTTTCGGCAGCCCATTAGAGGTCAGTAGGGTTTTGTTGCAAGTTGGTTGGAGCGCCTTGATATATACATTTGCGGTGAATTTGCGCTGCATTCAACTGAGAATGTATTAAGTGCAATTATTTTCATGGCCTCTCCCATAATAAACTTCTACTTTTTTAAAAGCTCAAACAATGCGGTTTTTAATATTTCTTGTCGAAAATCGGTTCAAAGCAATTGATATTCGCTATAAGTTGTATTTAATAGTAACCTAAGCTTGAAAGACGGACAGACTTACACGGCTGTATAAATTCTGAATCTTGCACTTGTTCAGGGAAAGTATATTTGAAAGACGGACAGACGTACATGGCTATGTAAATTCTGAATCTTGCACTTGTTCAGGGAAAATATGTTATGTCTGATGGATAGTTTTGGTTTCTGCAATCTATTGCAGATTTTCCTCCCTCGAAAGTAACCGATCCTTTTGCTTAGTGTTGCAGGCTCGACATATTTTCAGGCTTGCTTACTGTGAAATTTGCTGAACTGCGCTTTTGATTTTTACTCCAATCTTTGTGACAAGACATTCATCTCGCAGGGGAATATAGAATCTTACGCTAGTTAAGCATGCGTACATACACGCACGTAGCACATGATGCATATGTACATAACACATCACTGACATATTGGATGGCATATAGATGTCGCTGCTATTGAAGGATCCATATAACGCTACTCTTTGTTTTTGTAAAACAAGGGAGAAAGTCTGAGTTTCCTGTGTCGCTTTACCCAAATAACTGTAACTCGGAAACTATTCTTTGGAATACTACGGAAATTGGATATATTTCACTTGAAGGTTGGTCCTTCCTGGTGGCACGACATGGATTATTCATCGTACGAGCTTATTGCGTGATATGCTATCTATTCAGTGTAAGATTCTGAAACAGTTTAATTATGTTCCTCTGTATGACGAACATTTTGTACGTCTCTAAATATCCCAAAAATTGAAGTAAAAGTCCGACAATCCCTTTGGATTGTATAAACTAAAACTAAAACTCGACTTCGGGAGTAGACAACTTAGGATAGGCGCTGTAAGGTTTACTACTAGTCCGAGGAGAAGTACTCTGTTTAAAGACCTAGGGAGTACTAGAGTAGCTTTGCGATAAGTTTGAATGTTACAAACGATGTGAACAACTTGGCATGCTTTCACATTTTAATGTGTGTTTATAAAAACCCTCCCCGCTTACCAGCTGAATTTAAATTAAATTTAAATTAACAAATGAAATGAAGTGCAAAAGAAAACATTTTTTGCTATTTTTTTATTTTTTTTTTTTTTATTTTACTTTGATAAACAACAACATATAATAGAAGATAGAATAAGAGAAACATCTTCGAAGAAATGCAGCCAATTAAATACTTAAAATTCGAAGAGGAATGAATGAAACGGCGCTTTTATATTAGGGTAAGAGTAATGAATGCGTTAGCAAATCCTCGGAGTAAAAATCCATTACAAACAAATTAACAAATAAATCAAATTTCAATACGAGCCGCGTTTGTTTGTAATTTGTAGGCAAAAACAATTTGTAACATTTATACAATCTATGTAGATATATTTGTTTATTTGCATTACATGGCCCCATTCCCAATGGCATAGCAAGCAAGCCTCATCCGCTTTGAGTCTAGAAAGTTGCTTAATGAAATCTTATGATGGTATATGCTTAAACGCTTCTTAATTCCGGCAAAAGCTGACGATGATGATGTTGATAATGTCGATGACGACGACGATGATGGCGATGGCGATGGTGATGTTGATGTTGATGTTGATGAGTAGCAGCACGATTTTCTGCTGTTAGAAACAAACAAGTGGCGTAAAGCCTTCTTCAAAAATCATTTATCTAAATTAATTCCTGTCGTTTACATTTGAAAAACAAATCAAAGATTAAGACAAACATTAGTTTTAACCCTGCCGCCAGACGACCAAACGGAATTTCAACGGAAATCTTGCGGTGTTCAAGTTAAGGAAATTCTTTGTTACGCATTCGTTTTGTACGTGCGTACGTACGTACGTACGTACGTATGTGCTGTTAAGCGCTTATAGGATTTCTTAGGCGTGAGTATGCCTAAAATTAGACTCAACTACCAGAGAAAATAATAAATGATATGCGTTAAGAGAAATGCCAGGAAAAGAGATTTTTCTTCTTGTTGTTCTTGTTATTATTATTATTATTATTATTGTTGCTTTTATGTTTTAAATAAAAAGCGAATTGTATTTATATTTCCATGTATATTTCTAATTTTATTTACTCTAAAGGGGTTAATAAATAAGTTTGCTTTGTGCAAATAACACCCCATTCACAAAATGTTAATGTTGCTCTTATCGTTTGTCGTCGGGTTGTTGCTTTCTATAGACATCTTGAAAAATTATTATATTACCTACGCTTTGTGTACGCTTAGCGTTAAAAACTCATTTCCAAATTCCGCGGTGACGTTAGCCAAAGTGAAATTTCATAAACAATTAGAATTTTCAAAAATATCAAATTCTATCAACAGTCAACAAATCAACCACCACTTCTCGGCAATGTTTCAACATATTTTACTTGACTGCCATTGACAGACTTATGTTTCGTTCTTGCCTATATATGTGTTGTCGTTATTACATTTTCATTAACATTTCACAAACATCATAATTATTATGTCATGTATTTCTAGCTATAATCGATTTTATGTTTTCCTTGCATAACTTCATATAAGGCGGCAACAAGCAACTTAAAACATTTTTCGATCAAAAATTTATGCAAATTGATGATCAGTTGTTTTATTTTGAGAGTTCCTCCAGTGTAAAGATCATATCATGCTTTCAATTAAATGATCATTGAAACATGTCTTCGTTATTAATGAGAGGTAATTTACCGTTGGCAATGAAGGGCGCGCGCGTTCCTTACATCATTATTGTAAATATTATTGATGTTTATTTGGCCTGCTTTATATATCAACAACAAACGAATTGTCAACGAAAGCAACAGACATGCATTTTGAATCATATATCGCCAGGCAGCTAAACAGTCGGGTACTATAACTAAAGCTTACGGTCCATATTACTCCCGCAAGTAATGTGGACTTATATATGGAAGTGAGAAGGTCAAGAAGATTCAATAGAAAGTTTAGGAAGGTTAGATGATCCCTAGATCGCTTGATCCCTAGAAAATAGTTTAATTTTGTCAAAAACTCCTACTGCCGTTTATTATGTTAAACACCATTTCCACAACCATGGAAAATCCTTACATCGCATGGTGCAATTTTCATTTCATCTATTTTCCGGAAAAGCAAAAATGAAAACGGGATGAGTGGATCTTAAGACAATCATTCAAGTCGAATATAAGTCCGTTTTTCTTTATGTACAAATATTTTGTTAAAAAGTGACTTTTTTTATTAATAAAGAAATCTGAAGAAATTTAGCCCTCCGGTATACAATTGCGAACAAAATTTTGTGATTAAAAGACACATGCCTTGTGACTGGCGAGACTTTTTGCCAAATGGAACATCCGCATTCCGAGCGACTAAGCCTGAGCCCATCTTACAAGCCATTGGCCAGGCCGCGAGACTGACCATCTAGTGTTCTTTGAAAAAACTTTTTCTTTGCTACTCTTAGTTGCCAGTGCCCATAGCATTACATAATAATTCAATTTAAAAATGCGTCCCTTTGGGAGAAACAAGTTACAGTAATAATACCAGCGTAATAATGAAATAAGCTATAAATGAAGTCATTTTGTTATTAATGTATTTTATTAAATGTTTATATGAAGGAATTTTTGAAGAAATTTTCAAGAATGTGCAATAAGTTGGAAATATTTTAAGGAGATTATCCTTTGCTCGCAAAGCTATAACATAAATTTATAGCCATTGAGCTAACATTAGCAAATCTTCGCAATACGTAGCCAAAAATCTTTTTTCTCCTTTAGTTATTATTATCAAATAATTGCGGAGATTTTCTAGCATAAGCAACCATTGCTACATACGGAACGGTAATTTTGTCCCCAGTGGCATCTTGTAACTTCAAATCGACGACAATGTTAAAGAAGTCTTGCCAAAATTCCGGGTGTCGTTGGGAAGGTATACGATCCAAGAAAGGACATATAGCCTCGGCATTATCTTTTTGAAGCGAAAACGGTTCAAAGAAGATTTTTAGTTATAAAGTTATTATGATAAAAAAAACACACACACACACACACGAATACGAACCTTTCACTGTATCAACTCCATTGAAGTCGTACGCATTGTGACGTAACTCAGTTTTAATATGACTGAAACCCGTCTCCTTTAATAATGCGGCAAATTTTTCTTGAGGTTTTTCGGTGCGATAGAAAGGACAAATAAAACGTTTTACATCAGCCATATATGGTGACCATTTAGGTAATTTACTTAACGATAAGTAAATCTCATAGATAGGGTTATCTATCAGAATCACTAAAAGGCAGTCACCACTTTCGGGCCGTAGCAACTGGTAAATATTTTCCAAAGCTTTTCTATCGTATAGCATACATTGAATAACTTAGTAAATAATTTTATTTAATTTTCGGCACAATTATTTACCTTTGATTTTGTACCCAGTTCAGACAATAGAACGAAGTCACATGATCAAATTGTCCTTTTAAATCGTTCGGCAATTCTTCCTCAGTAGCAATATCCAATATTCTGAAATCACAACGTTCGTCGAATTTGAAAGCTTTGAGAGCATGTTTACACATTTTTGGGGAAATGTCTGAGCCAACTAGCTTGCCGAAATTGCTCGGCATTAGGGGATAAATGAAGTCCTTAAAGACATCACCCGGACCACTGCCAATATCTATTAAACTATCTTGACCATCCAGATGCCATTGCAACGAGTTCGAGTATTCCTTAAGTATTTGTTCAGCATCACGTCTTTGGAGGACATTCGCTCGCTGATATAGAGCGGCTCGATGCATTTTTTAATATAAACGGAAGTTCGATAAAATAGAGCAGACTTTTACGATGTTTCCTTAAAGAAAACTTCCAGCGCTTTAAAATGATTATTTTCTAACTATTGGCTTTTTATAAGAAATTTTTTAAAAGCGACAGCGAATTCGTATTTTTATGTTTTTTTCTTTTTTTTTTGTAACAAAAATTGAATGCTTTGAAGTGTTTTTGTATATGTATTCGTAGAGCTCCAAAATTACAAAATTTGAAAACTTAAAAACAATCTCTCTCATAAAGTGCTGTAGAAAACGACACCTATACGAAAGCAAATGGCTCACCATATCATGTTATTGGACGTAATTGGCTTTTGTTGTTGCAGTCGTAAAGATATGCTTTGCAATTTTCAATCAGCAGAATGATAATATAAGAACACGGTGAAGCTCTTTCGAGTTGCATAGGCGATTAGGTGTTTCAACATTTCATTTCTTCTATAAGAACAACGCCACAAGAAGAAACGTAGAAGTAATGCCTTGTCAAAAAGTAATAAATGTAGTTCCAAGTTTTTTTTCAATTTTTTTTTCTCGAACGAAGCTTTTAATGGAAAGAATAAGAGGGGCGTAACTTTTCCAGAGGCTTTACAAAATAGAAAATAAAAGGTTATCATGGATTTGGTACTCCTCGTTGTAATACTCGAGTATATTCATAAGCGAGGGCAGTAATTGTGTGATTCAATCACAAATGTGACTGCAACAATTAGATGCAAACAATAGCAACAGATTAGCTTTCTTCCCTTTCTTACAATCTGAAATATCCACAGGCGGAAAATTTCCATTAGTATGGTTTTGGCCAGTTTGCCTTCTTCTCAAGTTCCAAAATTAAAAAAAAAAGCATGCAATACATACAAATTTTACCCTGTATTACCTTTACCCTAAGTGTTTGAAATGATGATGGAATATGGATTCGATCTCGGCAACAATATGTCTGCAACAATTAGCTGCAAAAATTAACAACAGATTAGCTGTTGCGTTACTTATGCTCAGAAATCTTCATCAGAAACGATAATGTTCGATTATTGTAGATTTGATTGACTAGTATGCCTTTTTTCAAGTTTCAAATTTTGTTTTCCAATTTCCAAATTTGTAAAAAAACACATTATACATTACCCTTATCTTACGTGTTTCCAATAAGGATTGAAAGCGGAGCGGAAATGGGAGCACAAAGATGTCTGCATCAATTAGCAACAAATTGTCTGCTGCGTTTCTTACATTCGTCTCAAGCAGAGACGACAAATAATTTCAATTATTTTACATTTTACCATTTTGCCTTTATGCTAACATATACGGATTTTGGGTTCTCAAGTTCAAAAATCCTAAGCAAAGAACGCAGCACACTGAAACCTTATCCTTATCTTACCCCTACTATAGTTGTTAGAAATAAGAAACAATAAAGTAAATGTAATCGCGGGCCGCAACGGATATCGATTTAAATTTTAAGAAAGTCTTCTCTAAAGTAATATTTCCAGCAACATTTTTTCCCTTTAGTGTATCGTGTTCTATTTTCATGGTCTGTCCTCTACATATCCCACACTTGCAATGAAGGAGTTAGGTCAGGATTGTTTTATTATTAGTTGTCGATTGGTGGCGATAAAATTTCATTTCATTCGTTTTTCATTCTTCATAAAATAATTTTTGCATAATTTATGAATTCACTTACTTATTAAAGGTGAAAAAATCGAACAACAATTAAAAAAATTAAAATAATAATAAAACATATTTTGTTTAAAATGCTATAGAATTTCTTCCGCATCACAATCAATAATATCTGTTTATTATTCATTCATAAATTTCAAAGTTTACTTTTGCTTGTTTTGCCGCACACCACTTGTGTTACAAGGGTATGGTCACTTTGTGAGGATGTATGCAACACCCAGAGGAACTGGAGATATACTCCCCTTTTATTATACCGACCGTTTCAGAATCACTTTCTGAATCGATTTAAGTACGTCTGCCTGTCCGTCTGTCCCTCCTGTTTTGTTGTGTCCAACCTACAGGTCGCAATTATTCAGATATTTTGATGAAATGTGGTACAGCGACATGTTGTGGCTCAAGAATACACGCTGTTGTATCGCTGTTGTTCGGATCGGGCCACTTTTTCGTCCACTCTGCAGCCTTATTTCGAACAATCGTTGCAGAAATGACCGCACTATGTGAAGTGATGTAGAGTATTTAGTGGTAGGCCGTGTGCCATTGCTGTGTTTTTACTTGTTTTTTCAATTCAATTCTATGTGAACTTGATCTTTCTATTTTTTTCTCCTTTAGCACGCTTTTTAGTTTCCTATGTTGTGTTGTTGTTGTTGCAATTCTAAAAAAAGGCGATAAAATATATTTGGAAAAATCTCTTTAAAAATTTTTCCTCTATTTGTTTTTTGTTTTATTTTATTTTTTTTTTTTTTTTTAGGTATAGCGGCTGTTGCAAGCGTATATGTGTATGTTCCATTGTTCATCAGTATAAGTGAAATTCATCTTTGAGGTGGTAGTACATCTTCAAAAAAAACTTTAGGTTCATTGAACTATTTATTTGAGACTTTTTGAGACACTGTAAGCATTGTTTTCTTTGACAAGAGCGTTTAACACGTTTTTATGACTTTAGTAAATAAGTTTACACAGTTTTCTAACTGCGCATATATTATTTTATTTTTAAATCAATCTTAATGTTTGACACGTTTTTGTAATTTAGATAAAACAAACTTACGTGGCTTTCTAATGACGCATCTTTTGCTTATTTTTTAATCAATCAACCTACGATAAATGTATAAATTGTGTCAAACTGTTCATCTGGTAATCAGTTATGTATAAGAGAAAACGTTACGAACTATATATACATCCTTCTATGCAAATGTAACTCTCTTTGTTACTGCTTGATAGTCTTCGCACTGAAATTCTATGTCTTTGCGTTAACTGATTCGCCAAACCAATTTTTTTTCTTTTTCTTTCCAATGCAAATTAGTGATTAGTTTATTAAAAGTCATTACATGGTCTCTGGCATTCAGTTAAAATCATAAATCGTTTACATTCAGTCCAATCCCTTAATGTTTTTTTTTTTTTTTTGGTCAAAATAAGTTGTGGAAGTACTCACGATTTCGAGGATTATCATAATCGACCATCAAACTTCTGACAAGCAATTGAAGTTCTTTATCTTATTGGCGGGGGAAAATGATAAAACGTATATACGAATTCTTTTCGAATTGTTTTTCTCTTCAGAGATAATTGTCATATCCGTAGAGACAATTTTAGCTTATTAGCAATTTTGCTATAAAAAATTTGTAGAAAGCATTATTGGAAAATTGTTGCATGCTTTGAAAAGCTACACAATCAAAAAGAACGAGGGCAAATGACGAAGTAAAGAAGTAACCGAAGACCGAAGTACTTAGTGTTAAATTAAAATAAATTATAAAAAAGATATTTTTTAAATAATCTTTTATTGAAATAAAATAAAATGAAGAAAATAGATTTTATCTCAACGACTATCTGTGGCCTTTAAAACTTCACTGTGTGTGTGCAATCGTTTTCTCTAAACATCTCATCTTCATATATAGTTATATAAGACTGGCTGAGAATATAGAGAAAATGTTCTTTGTTCACATTGTGTTGTCCTCGTTACTTAAGGCGTGCGCAAATTTGCAGTACGATCGTTCATTGCCTGAAGTGCCCGAAATATCGACCAATAGCTTCTCATCTCGTTCCAGCTTGTGGCGGCCCCCATTCTTAGTAGGGACAAGATGTTTACCTTTGACATTACTTCTTGCTGAGAGTGTCCGAAATATCGATTGAAAGTTTATCTACCAAAAAAACAAGTTAATAAATAAAAGCTTATGATGATAAACAAAAAAAAAACGAAAATGAAAAAAAAAATGAGATTTCAATACTTTTAAAAAGGATTGCAACACGCAGAGTTTCCGGCCTTGCTATCGTTTGTTTCCTAATATAGTTAATAATGGTTGGCATTCAAAGATCGAAGACTATGGTAGTTAAAACTAAATAAAAATGGAAAATACAGATCAAAATAAAATAATAAAAAGATGAACAAAATCAAAAAAAATACAAGCAAAAATTAAAAGCGAAATCGTGTTTCAAGGCATAAAATGTACAATAAAAAAATGTATTGCTACCGTTCACCGCAGAATGTGTGTATAAAGGCGGAGCATGTTATAGAAATTTTTGAATACCAGTTTTTTTGTAAGTCGGGGGGGGGGGAGGGAGGGCGGTAAAAGCTTTTAAAAACATCGCTAAAATCCCTCATATACATTTTTGTAATTAGTCTGCGTATGATAGGGCGAAGGTATAAATGGTAGGTCTCGGCCCTGATGGGACCTCTTTCAATAATTGTTTTTCGGCTTGTTTTCACTTTGGTGTAAATTGTTAAAAGCAAAGGCATTTTTATTGATTTGCTTGATTTGCATTCAAAAAATATTGACTATTTAATCTATCTTGATTATGAAACGATTTATTGCAATTAGATTTGACCTAATTTTAGATAAAGTTAGCCTTACATTTTAATTAAAACCAAGTGAAGGTATGCCACTGTTAATAATTGAGATAATCTCCTATTAGAGAAGTATGCAGTTGCTTTTCGTTTCGATCGAAATCCATTTATACTTCTTTATTTCTATAGTTGAAATAAAGTAAAATATTATCATTGTAAAATTAAAATATAATTTTTATAAATTGGTAAACTTAATTCAATAATATTTTATAATAATAACTATTCAAAGATATAAAATCTCTTTAGTACGCGAAAAAAATCAAATTTTCCTTCCTTTCGAAAATAGAGGGATTGTGCATTTATACTGCACCGTAGGCGTGTTCTTTGACGGATTTGGTTTATTTTCAATACCGTAGTGCTTACGTGAACGGTCTTGATTTTTCATAAAAGTGAAGGCCACATATAAATTTTTATGACAAAAAGTGCATTCATAACAGGATTGACGAACGGACAGACATGCGTAGAATGACTCAGAATTTGCGTCTGACAAAGAATATCTATAGCTTATGGGTTATTGTATGCTTTTCTCTGAGTACTACAAACGTTTTCGTGAAATGAACATGCTACCATTTTTCGTTGGTGAATATAAAAATGTAAAGAAGAACCAGAACTGATATATTTCGAAAGAGTACGGGAGCAGAACTCATGCCAGCAAATTATACCGCATAACGCGATACATTCGCTTATTGAAAATAGAATAACAAGATCAAGAGTTTCTAAACAAAAGTAAGTTTGTGTAACAAGACCGATTTTCATTTCTTTGGATACGTAAGGATATAAAAGTGACTCACGAGAGCAATAGTCGCACTACCGGGCCAACTATATCGGGCGTTTTCCGATTAGCAATCTAGTTTGGCCTAGGGTTTTTCATTGGTTCGCTGATTCTTCTGTTACTTCAGCCATGCTAACCGTTCGCTTCTCGAAACTTTGACTATTTATCGGGATCATGCGATTCAATAGACCGATGCTACAGATAAATTTAAGGCCAAAGCGAGCTGATGTACTCGCAAAATCTGCAAGAGCCGCCAAGTAAGTGACAATCGCTTCAAGTACTGTAAAGTTTAAAGCATAGCGCTTACCTAGGCTCGGACTATCGCCCCGCTCTCTCCCTCTCTCTCTCTCTTCATCTTTACATATACATCTGAACATCATCTGAGTGATTGGTCATATTAAAAAAAAAAAATTAAATAAATAAATAAATAAAAAACGAAATCTAAAATGAAAGGTGTATTTCTATTATTTCTTTAGTGTGAACGAAAGAGTCGTAATTCAATTTTATTTCTTATCAGTAAAAGGTTTTCTATTAGCTAAGCATTTTAAAGTACGCGTCTAGCTAACATACTTCAAAAAAGCGGGCACATAAAGACTTTAATGATTTTATCACATTTCTTGCATTTAATTTTTTTATTTTTTGATATTGTGACTAAAAATCAATTATCCATTTAGATAAAAATTATACATTCACACTCCTTAGAAATATTTCGAGCAATCTTTTTTTACCATAATAGGTGTTTGTTTTTCTTGTATTATCGTCACTCTGTGTGATGTATCGACTTATTAAGCATACTACTCTTTGGATATGTTATGCGAAGAATAGAGTAAGGATTTCTTACGTAATAGTGAAATATTAGCAACGGCAAGAGTTTGTGAGCAAGAGTTTGTGAGCAAGTGCTGCTTACATTTACAAAGAGAAGTCTTATGCATTGCATACAAATGCACTTAAGTGCGCTTTTATAGTTTCATATAACTGTAAATAGAAAATCTGAGGGAAAACTGAAATCCTATCAAGGGCATATTCAATAATCTGGGTATTCTCTTTTCATTCTTTTCCAAATTTTTACTGTAAACTTAGAAATTATCTTACCATAGAAATAATTGATTTTTTGAACTTTGATTTTTTTTTACACGTTTGAATTTTGCTTTTTTAATCACCAGTCAGCGGGTACCGTCATCACAAGTGGAACGATGACCGTGGGAAAGAAGTTGGTAGAGGGAGGGAAGGGAATGATCACAATGTAGACATGAGCCCGATCTGTAAGTTACTACCAAACACCAATCGTGTTTAAAGCATAATATACCACATTGAGGATTGCGTTCCCGAATTCCGACCTGTTCTGTAACTAAAAATTTGAAATATGTTCACATAACCAGTCAGTGCCCATGCGTAAGCGAAAATATTAGCCTTAACCATGCGCAAGAAATATAAAAATGTTCTGTTTTTCTTTGTAAAAATTGTGATGTGTAAGCAGAAGCTGGGTCTGTGCTTTTTGCTGCCTAACTAGCTCAGCTACACTCACATTTTTTTCTTTTTTTTTTCGCTTCCTTTTTTTCCATATATATATTACAAATATTATATCAAAAAAAAAGTTTCAAGTCAAGAATAATCTAAACATGCCCACGAGTTTTGTTGTCCGTTAGCACCGCTTCCTTGTCCGTTACTCAGTACCCTTGGTCACTTTCCTATGCTCACAGGCACACAAAAAAGCATATGCGCCGTCTTAACGGAACCTATAGGACGCTTAGCTATTTTACAACATTACAGTACCCTACCTTAACATCAATTTCTTACAACAACTTCCGCCGAGAGTGTCCACAATTTACAAAAAGGAGATTACAGCGATGACAGTGATGATGACAAAACAGTGGCGACACATTGAAGATGCTTGCACAATAGGAGCGTATGCAGACGGCCCCCACAAATTGGGATTATGAAGAACTGCATAGAAGGTTTTGATTAGGCCCCCAAGTACAGGCCCATGTTAACCAATGCTTTGAAAGAATTCTTCTCAATATAGTTTCGATTTGGATTTGTTGGACTACTTACAGAATTTTCTTCCAACTTCGCGATGCATAAAACTCCTTTTTTTGTTTGCATATTTATTTTTCTTCTTCATTACCTAACTTATGTACGCGGACGTTATAAAATAACTGAATTCATCGGAGATAATTCATGGTTTCGTCGTGCTGATAATGTTTTAGCTGGTCCTCCTACCTAGAAGAAACTTTATGCAACCATTCTTACAAGTATAGCAAATTAGCAAATGTAGAAGACAACAGCATATAAGAAAATTGAATAATCATTTATGCGGTACTTAAAAAATCTTTTTCCTTTCACACTCAATATAAAAATAAAGAAAAAGTAAAGAAAATTATTTTCTCTTCTGTTTGCTTTCATTAGGTGGCATTATCAAAAATTCGTGGTGTTTTTCTAGCATAAGCCACTATCAGCTTGTTTGTTATGCTAATTTGTGGTTGAATATTGTGCTTTAAATTCAAACCGACCATAGTATTGAACAAATCTTGCAAAAATTCCGAACGTTGATCAGCGATCATACGTCCCAGGAAAGGACAAACAGCTTCCATATTGTCTGTTTGAGGAAAAGAAAGAATAAGTTGTTTATTAATAGGTCACACACACACACACGTACATTAACAAACCTTTTAGTATATTAACTGTTTTATAGTCGTAAGTATCGTGATGCAATTCCACTTTAATGTGACTAAAACCTGCTTCCCTCAACATAGTTGCAAATATTTCTTGAACATTCTTGGTGCGACGAAAAGGGCCAATGAAACGCTCCACATCAGTCATATAAGATGACCACTTTGGCGATTGGCGCAACAGTAAATGAGCTTCAAATGCAGTGCTGTTTGTTGGGAATACTAAAAGACAATCACCGTTTTCTGGACGTAATAACTGATAGATATTTTCCAAAGCTTGCCTATTGTGTTGTTATGTATCAAATATATATTGAATGAATGACTAAACTTTTTTTGTAATTATTTACCTTTGATTTTGTACCCAATGCAAGCAATAGAATGAAGTCACATGATCAAATTGTCCTTTTAAATCGTATGGCAACTTTTCTTCTGTGGCAATGTCTAATACTCTGAAATCGCAACGTGGTTCGTGTTTAAAAATTTGTCGAGCATAGTTGCACATGTTTGAGGATATGTCCGAGCCAACTAGTCTCGCGAAATTGCAGGGCATTAGAGGATAAACGAAATCTTTAAGAACATCACCTGAACCGCTACCAATATCTATTAAACTGTCCTGGCCATCCAGACGCCATTGGAATATGTTTGAATATTTTTTGAGTACAACTTCGGCGTCGTGTCTTTGTAATAAATTTGCTCGATGATATAAAGCGGGCTGATCCATGTTGTTAAACAAACGTCGATCAAATAAACAAGACACGCAAATGATCTTTCTTTGAAGAAATTCTTAAATGCTTTAAAATATTTAGCCTTTAAACGCTCGCTTTTTATTAGGCAATATTTTAGAAATTGAACTTTTTTAAGCTAAACCTTTGAATGTGTGTGTTTTGAATGCAAAAGCCGCAAAAAAGATCCTCGTCTCATTTAACAAAGAACGAGCTTTTTTTACAAATTTACAAATGTGATGAGAAAAAAAAGTGACGGCGGAACACGGTTTTTTTCACGAAATCTTTCATTACGTTTTCTCCTCTGAATTTCTCCCATAGTGTTCTACTATTGTATTTGAATGCTTGAATCTTCCCGACATATAAGAAGAGAGTTTAGTGGCATGTTAAGTCGCCCGATCTCAGTGCAGAATTGAAATTTCGAGATAATATCGATTTTAGGCGGCTTTGCGAAACAACTTTTCTCATCTTTACTGTTTTACTCGAAGCGTGAGGTGTCTGCACTTTATAAGCGCAGTGCAGTAGGACGTTTTTGATGCTTTAAATTAAACCTTTTACGATTTTTTTGTATCCAGAACTATTGACAATTTTAAAATTTGAAAAAATTAAAAATAATCTCCGCTTTTTTACTTTAAAACTATATTTGAAGGTTAGGTTCGTATTTGCTCGCTATTATTGTTTGTTCGTAAATTTTCAAAATTTGTTCTTTTTTTTGTTTATTCTTTGATTTTTGGATTTGACCTTTTAATTCACTTTTAATTGTTCGTAGTTGTTGCTGTTGCTGCTTTGATGTATATAAAGTAATTAAAATGTTTTTAATCACACTTTTAAACTATTTACTTATCAGAGATTGCAGTTACCGTAAATGTTGCTCATGCACGTTTCAATGACTTAGGACAGTTTAAGATTTGATATCTTGGTACATTTCTGTAGTTTTACAAAACTTGAAACTCATTGACTGTTTATTTTAAACATTTTCGCTGCAAGCAGTGACTTTTTTTAAATTTAAATAAATTCGTTTACACAATTTCTCAAATGCGGACATTTTGCGTATATGTAAAAAAAATATTCTAATGAAATGATTGCATGAAATTGATAGAAGATCTGTAGAGCATGAAAGTCTGTTTAAAAAGTAAAGCGTCTTTCTCCATTAAGAACATGAGAGCTTTAAATATCAATGCAAAATTTTTCTTTTCCTTAGATTAGATATTATCTAAGGTCTAATTAATGAAATGAATAAAAAATGAAGTCCGTCTTATTAGATATTACTTTAGACGATTCCGTACCAATTGTCAGTTCGGAAAGCATATTTATATATTTATATTTCTGTAAGGTTTTCAGGTAATTTTAGTTGATTTCTTTTTCCTATTTAGTCGACTTTCGAGTTTGACACAAAGATGTTTTGATGTAATATTCTATATGTCTAACTTCAGAAATCTATTCTTATTTTTCTAATGGTGGAAAAAGTGCGACAATTACGGTTTGTGGCTGCTAAGACTTTTCTTCAATTCGGACAATGGCGTTCGGGGCAACTACTTCTATGGAAAGTACCTGCAGAATACAAAATAGATATATATGTTATTAAAAGTTTTATTAAAACGATTAGACTGTCTACTTTTGTTATACCCACTGTACTGTAAGATTCATTTTGTTTCTTTTCCATAATGTATGTAACAGCCGAAAAGAAACTTCAGAGACTCTATAAAGTATATATATTTTTGATCAGCACGAAATTCTGAGTTAATTTAGCCATGTCACATATTCAATTTAAGGCAGATCATATATCTTTATTTAAGGAGTGTACAAAATACTTTTAAGTATTTCGTCTTGTTTGACTTATAGCAAATATGCATAAAGCTTTAAAAAAGTGAAAAAAAAAACAAAATTTAATCCATTGTAACTTTGTGTCGGCATGGACTATATTTTCGGTTTTCGCAGGCAAGGAATAGAGTGCTTCAACCTTCTAACTTTTACAATTTTCGGGTAACGAGCAAAAATCCAAAAATTTTTGTTTAAAAAAAACGGAGTTGCGTTCAGGTTACGCTCGACTGCGCGCTTCGGCTCCAACCGATTTGGCCCACTTTCAATACCAACCAGCATGCAGAAACTTCCAATTTCCTCTCTACTAAATTTGAAATCGATATTTTCTGTTGTGCGTCCAGGAAAGTGCTAACAACACACATGACATACTAAATAATTGATTCTGAAGAGTAAGTCTATCTTAAGCCATTGAGGGTGTTGTCAACAAGCGCGCAAACTTAATATGTCCTTGTTCCGCAAGTAATGTAGGCTATAAGTAAACATGCCTTTACTCATAGGTTTTTTCTTCTACATTCTTCTTGTTGTAAACAAAAGGATGATCTTTCTTTTTGCATTGTACAAAAACTGACTGTCTATGACCCATGCAAAAGATTCCACGAGTGTACGATATAATTAAAAATATTAACCCGTAATCAGGCCAGTAACTCCCAGGTTGTTCTAGTGTTGTTAAATGGCTTGGTGTGAAAGAAAACGATGAACGGCGCCACATACCTTTGCAATGTTGAGGTCATATCGAAGATAGATTGCTTTAGCTTAGTTGGTTTTGGGACTTGAGAAGGCAAAAATAATTAGCTTCTGTTATTCTTTTGTTGAGGATCGAAGTGACGTAGCTAAATCGGGATCGTTTATCAATGGATACAAGGTCAATCATTACCGAAATTTCACGTACTCGAGATCCCAACACTCGTCCTTTAGAAATTATCGATAAATGTTACTTTGGGAAAAATGTCTCAGCCTGAGACCAAATCGTCGCTTAAGGAGTCAAAAAGAAGTCAGGGCTCACACTTGGCGAAGTGTACAGTTTATATAGTATGCTGATGGAAAATATAATATTGGGTTTTCTTCCTGTAATAAATATGTGTGATAAAGTCGGCTAATGCGCGTAGACTAAGAGGAAGAGAAGTCCCCTTGCAGAACTTCCGTTAGGCTTCTTCACATGTTATATAGCCAGTTTAGGTAGAAGATCTACCCCAAAAATTGAGCGCAAAAAATGCATTGACGAATTACGGAAGATCTTAGCAACAATTTTTTATTTCCTTTTGTTTGTTATTATTCTTTGAAACACAAGGAAAGATCTAAGATTCTTTTAATAGCAGTGGAGGACAACAAAAAGCCAGCGAAGTTAGAAAAGCTAATATTACAACGAACCGTTTACATAAGCCAGTGGAGTTTTCTAAATATAAACACACGCAACTTTTATTTACATGTGTACATCATACATGTATATTTGTGTGTAGTTGAAGTTAGTTGTGAAAAGTGCTTACATTTGTAGCTTTGTAACAAATGACTGGTAAAGGTTGTGTTTTCGCCTTTTCTTTCTTCCTAATGAGTCGGATAAAGTGATTTTTAATGGTTAGACTTTGTCAGTATTCGCCTAACGGGTCGAGTGGAATACTTGAAAATTATTTAAAGTTTATCTATTTACTTTATTGCTATTGTTAGGGCTCTGCTACACGCTCTGTTGTATTCTATTTTGCATGCTAAGAAAACTGTGCATATGTTTAAACAGAGAATGAATTAGGCAAACAATAACCGATTGAGAAGGCATGTGAATAGTAATCACATGTATAAAATCTTCGAAAGGTCCCCTTTTGCCTTTCAAATGTGTAAAGTAAAAGAAATTGAAAACAATATAACTGTAAAACGGGTATACGGTAGTATAAATAAACATGTGAACATGTAACTATACGTACAAAGTACAAGAAGGAATGGATTTCTAATGTCCCAAAAGGGAATATTTATGTGTACTAAATATATATGAGATGTAGATCTATGGAAAAGGAAAGGGAAAAGCAAAGAGAAAGTAGAAGAGTGTGAGGGAGAAAGTCAGCGTGCATGTAAAAATATTGAGGTTCAACTACACGTTACTCCTGTTTTACGCGGAACTAAGCATAAACGCTTTGGCCTTTAAACAACTTTGGCGTTGTTCCGCTATAAATTTTTACCTTATGTTTTATTCGCGTTGAAAAGTTTTCATTCTATCTGCGATCAGGGCAAGCTTTCGAGCTGATGTGGTGCTATTAGTCTATGCTTTGAAAATCAAAGTCTTAGACAGCTTCTCCGTGATATATGAATTTACAGAATAGCAAAAAGTAAGAAGAGCTTCATTTCAGGCTACTCAACAACGAAACTCATTGAAATATCGTGTTAATAGACACTGAAAGTATTAGGTGGCTATGAGCATACGTTTAACGCAATTTTGAATGAATTTTTTTGCATATATTTGCAAAAGTTATTGTTTAGCCTTAGCCGCCACATTCGATCGTCTCTTCGGGAGCTTATGAAATCTTTTTCGAAAGAACAATAACTTTTTGCAATGGACCCATTTCTTGGTAGCGTTGTGAGAAAGGGAATATCGGAGCATCAATTTTGAAAAAAAATCAGTTTTCTCCTTAATTTGCAATAGCTGCTCCTTGCAAGGGCTTTAATAAATTTGATAGTTTTCATTGGTATAACGTAAGTTGTAGCTAGAAAATTTTGTGTCTTCGTTTTCTATATTCGCCAAGGTATGCACAGTGCACTCGCAATGCGGATTTACTACTGCCGGTCATTTAAAATGTTGTTCCACGCAATCTTTTCTTTACATCACTCTTGACTACTAAAAATCAAAGTAGAGAAATAAGTACGCGTGCAGCGTGCACACCAAGGTCTAGGTGTATGTGTATAAAAGTGCACGATGATTTGTTGTTATTGATTAGTTCGGACAAGTGCTTGTAAAAATAAGGACTTAAGACAAACAATAGACAAACATTTGCTTAAATGGCAGGCCAACAATGAAGAAAAGGCTAATGCACGTATAGGAGAGAAAGTGTGTGCAAACATTAATTAATCGCATAAACTTCTATAAAATCTGCCTTTTTCAATTTTCTTTTTCTAAATGTACCTAAAAATACGTAAAAAGAAATACGGTAGTGCCTCAGTGCTATGCCAATAAATAAATATATATTCGTATATAAGT